CAATTTTTCATCTCTTATTTTCCTCCTTCCAAATTAAACTATTAAGTCTCTTTATTCCTTCTTGCATAGTTCGTATCTACATATTCTTCCGTTTGTTCCTGTGGAATTTGGAGCAACTCTGCAGTCAGTTGGACAATGATTTGATGAACATTTCCTAAACCTTAATTGAAATTCCAACTCTCATTGTTCTATCAGTTCCTGTCTCTACTTAAGTTTTATACTTATTTCTTCTAACTTTCCGATCTTATTTTTTGACTTCTCTTGTTCTTTTTCCAGCTTCTTCTTGTCCTGTCTGAGTTCTTTTAAATCCTCTTGAAATATTGACATCTCTTTTTTGATGGTCCCTTTTTTGTCCCTAATATTTGTCCCTAAGCATAGATATTCGTGCTGTAACGAATTCTGTTTCTCAGAAAGTTTTTGGATCTCTGCCAAGATATCTCTCAAATTCGGTTCCCCGGGTATTGAACTTCTTCTTTGGGTTGTACATTTTTTGTCTCTGTCCATTTTAGTTTTGGGGGTTGTCATGGTTGACAGATGTTGTTTGTTGCACTTTCTTTGCACTCTTTCCGAATGTCTTGCACTCATTAAATCTGTACCTCAGCTATGTTTTTTCTCAGCCAAATTGTTTTGATGTTTGTTTACAAATGTGATTGTTTTATATTTTATCTGATGTTTTTAATTGGTTGTGTTTTATCTGTAATTTTTGGGCTTGTCCCATGTAAGCCACCCCAAGTCCCTTTGGGGAGATGGTTGGCGGGGTATAAAAATAAAGTTGTTGTTGTTGTTGTTGTTGTTATTATTATTATTATTATTATTATTATTATACTTAATTAAAAATAATAGTAATTTTTGATTAAGTTTTTAGTAATTGTCAGTTCAGATTCAGATTCCCTCTTTCCTTTTCGCTCTTAATCCTTTACTTCCAATCGTAATTTTACCGGCAGCCAATTTTTAACCTTTACAAAGCGATTTTTTTCTTTAAGAACTTACAGTTTTTTGGTCTTCGCCTTTCTCTCCTGTTCTTTTGTTTAAGATGTGGATTGGTCTGCTGTAGAATCCCGCTTCACCTTGCAATGGTCCACTGCACCCAGTGGGCTTCCTCCTGGGTCATGAGCCACCAGGGGTAATGTCTCTTAGACCATTGGGGTTTAGCCCTGTGGGTTTTGCAGTCTCCCCAGACTCGATCTGCTGGGGAGAGCGAGCTACATGCTCTACCCGACCACCTTGCTCAGTTGGCACCTCGGGAGCTCTCAAGCCATGCCACCACACTCTTTAAAACCTCCCATCCATCCGTAACTCTCTTGTTTTTTAGTATTGGTGTCCATGGAATGCTGCTCAGTATTTCCTTCATTTTTCGGAAATCAGCTCTCCTAAAGTCCAAAATGCGGGTTTGACTTGTCTTAGTTTTGGCCTTCCTTTGTACCTCAAATTGCAGGAGCACATGGTCACTTGCCCCTAAGGATCCTACCACTTCAACTGCATCGATCAGGTCCTCCGCATTTGTTAGGATGAGATCAAGAGTAGCCAATCCCCTTGTTGCCTCTTCTACCTTCTGGACCATGAAATTGTCTGCAAGGCAAGCGAGGAATTTGTTGGACCTTGTACTCTTGGCCAAGTTTGTTTTCCAGCAAATATCGGGATAGTTGAAATCGCCCATGACTACTACATCTCTTCTCTGTGCCTGTTTGGTCAACTGTTGGCAGAAGACTTCATCAAGTTCTTCCTCCTGGCTTGGAGGTCTGTAGTAGACGCCTACAATGAGATCTTTTTGAGTCCCAGTTCCCTTGATTCTTATCCAGATGCTTTCAAGCTGGTTTCCGGGTTGCTGTCTTGCATCTCTTCTGCAGCATAACAGTTTTTGACGTATAAGGCTACTCCACCTCCTCTTCCCTTTGTTCTGTTTCTGTGAAAGAGGTTATAGCCCTCAATGTCTACATTCCAGCAATAGGAGTCATCCCATCAGGTTTCAGTGATGCCTATGACATTGTAGGTGTGGTGTTGTGCTGAAAGTTGGACTTCATCTTGTTTATTTCCCATGTTCTGTGCATTAGTGTAAAGACATGTAATCTCCTGGGACCTTCCCCTGAACTGTTTATTTGGGGTTATTGTGCTGTCGCTACTTGGTCCTTGTTGGGTTTGTGCAACCCTCCGTTTACCCTTTTGGCAGTTCTACTTTAAAGAGATTATGAAGATTGAGGCAGGAGTCCTGTTTGTGATTGGGCAACATACCTAAGGTGTTTTCATAGCAAAAGTTAGGGAAATGCAAAAGGCTGCTAGCATTTGCATGGCTGCAGTGTTTATTTCATTGTAATTTTATATAATTCATAATTTGGGAGGTCCAATTTCTTGATAACAAGGGGAGGAAATCCATAGAACCTATAGTCCCAAAGGGACAAACTGAGCATGCTCAGAAACTTCTCAGATCTCACGTTAGTACGGAGGGAGGCTGAGATTTCAAAGAGAGGAGGATTTCTTTCAACAAATAATGCGGGGGGAGGGATGGTGGGTGGGACCTCAGAACTGTAATGTGATGATAAATTAACTCAAAGAATGAGGATATATACTGAGTTGCATGGAAGTGTGGTGAGGGGAAGGAATTCTCCCATTTCATAGGAAAGTGTTCTACTCAGGCGACCTTTTTAATCCATTTAATTGCCTTAATGCAATGAAGTCCATTGTTTCCTAATCAAGGATGTGGATAATATTCTTTCGGTCTCTTCACTAGGGGACTTTGTGGCACCTTGATGGGCCAAGGAGATGGTTTCTCTTACTGTGGACTGTTCTTATCTGCCCTTTAAGCTTTTCATCTCAGTGCTTCTCATGCTATCAGATTATATTTTTCAATTAAATTTTTCCTAGGGGCCAGATGTTGTTGTTGTTCATTTGTTCAGTCGTCTCCGACTCTTCGTGACCTCATGGACCAGCCCACGCCAGAGCTCTCTGTTGGACGTCACCGCCCCCAGCTCCTTCAAGGTCAATCCAGTCACTTCAAGGATGCCATCCCTCCATCTTGCCCTTGGTCGGCCCCTCTTCCTTTTGCCTTCCACTTTCCCCAGCATAATTGTCTTCTCTAAGCTTTGCTGTCTCCTTATGATGTGGCCAAAGGACTTCCACTTTGTCTCTAGTATCCTTCCCTCCAGTGAGCAGTCGGGCTTTATTTCCTGGAGGATGGACTGGTTGGATCTTCTCGCAGTCCAAGGCACTCTCAGAACTTTCCTCCAACACCACAGTTCAAAAGCATCGATCTTCCTTTGCTCAGCGTTCCCTAAGGTCCAGCTCTCACATCCGTAGGTTACTACAGGGAATACCATTGCTTTGACCAGGACCATATTTTGGCCCAAATGTTTCTTTCCTGAAATTCACCGGGGACTTGTATATGCAATGACCCAGGGACATGCACCAGTCTATAGACAACCAATTTGAGAAGCACTCTGCTATGTCACCAGAAGAGTGACGAGACTTGCCATTGCTTTACGATGCAATATCTGCCAGCAGCACCCTTTGTCTTTCTGGGAGTTACTTTTGTGGTGCTGTCCCTTGGCTCCCCTCTCGCACTCCCCTCTTTGGCCACACAATCTGTGCTTCTTCACTCCTCTTGTTTCCAGCAGAGAGACAGAGGGAAGAGTGACCCGGTGACCTGAGCCATGGCCCTATCAGAGGATTCCACTGTGATGCCCGCCTTGGGCCGACCCTTCCAGCTGGGAATGCTCTACGATTGCCGGAAAGACACCCTCATCCCAGGTAAGGGCCAATCTCTCAATGCCTGAGGTGGGCAAGGACACTTCAGCAAATGGACACACACACAGGCAAAAACACTTTAAAAGATCCCAGCAGTTTCTGGACTTCAGTTCCATTCCAAGCTGAGCTGACATTATCATCCCAGTTTTCCATTGCAAGTGTGTATGTGTGTTGCAAAAAAAAAAAAAAGAGGAACATATGGAAAAGAAATAGGGAACACGTCAAGTTTTTAGGGGATTTTGTGTCTCCCCCCCCCCCCCAGGAGTTTCCTACAGAATTCAGGGCTGTTGGGTGACTTCCTGTTTGATCAGGTTTGGAACAGGCAAGAGAAGGGATTAGAAGCCCCTGAGGTGCAGCAAAATGGCCACGAATCCCTCTTCAGAACCTTGGTGAGATGTTAAAATCCATTGGAAGCACCTAATGGCCCCTGGAGCAAACAGCTGGCAATTTCATAACTGCGACATTTCATATTGCATGTATTTTGCAAACAGCAATGAACTTTCATCACATCCCTAGCAACATTTTCAGTCCTATGTAGTTTCCAGGGCTACGCATTTAGGATGCTTGCATTTTGTATTTCTCCCTGAGTGTTTCTGAGCTTTGACCATTTTCCTCTGCTTCATTTCAGGGATCACCCTCTGGGACCTGGACTCCCTTCAGAAGGATGTGAGCATCAGACCCCAGCCAAAAACGGAATTTGAGATCCTTGCATCTGACTCCATTGAGGACAAGGCCTTTGCCCTCAATGCCTCAGCCTCCCTCAAAGCCAGTTTCCTGGGAGGACTGGTTAATCTGGAAGGCTCTGCCAAGTTCCTCCAAGACAGCAAGACCTCCAAACAACAAGCCAGAGTCACCTTGCAGTACAAAGCCACCACCAGGTATGAACAGCTGACCATGAGTCACCTGGGAGTCCAAAATGTCTCTCACTCAAGTGTCTTTGAGCACGGGACCGCCACCCATGTTGTCACGGCCATCTTGTATGGAGCTCAGGCTTTCTTTGTCTTTGACCGAGAAGTTTCCTCTTCTGAGTCTGTGCAAGAGATAGAGGGAAATCTCCAAGGTATGATTAAGCAGTCAATATCTAATGTGGGACAAGGAGAAATAAAGATCGATGGCACAGAAAAATCCCAGACCGAACATTTCAGCTGCAAGTTCCATGGAGACTTTTCTCTGGAGAACAATCCAGTGAGCTTCCCAAAATGATGGGAGATGATGGAGCAAAAGCTATACCTGTAATGGTTTGGCTGTACCCATTGACCAAGATGGATTCCAGGGCGGCCAAGATGGTGCAAGAGATCAGCCTAGCACTCATCTTTGATGCCCAAAAAGTTCTGGAGGAACTCAGTGAAATTGACATGAGATGTAATGATCTGGGAAAAAATCCCATTGCTAACACCTTCCCAGAAATCAAGAAGAAGGTCCAGCTTTTCAAGGACCTCTGCAAGCAGCACAGGCAGACCTTCCAGAAAGAACTGGCAGGACTCTTGCCTTCCATCCGGGGAGGAGGAAAAGAGGAAGGCGCCCTGGCCGACATCCTGAGGTCCATGAACCAGTCTCCCTTCAACAGCCAAAAGCTCCAGGAGTTTCTGAAGATGAAGGAGCGGGAGATGGATTTTGTGAACTCTTACCTTGCTATCCTCAGTGGGATAGAAGTCCTCTCCTCTGAGAGCAAACTGAATGAAATAGTGCTTGACCACCAGAATGAATTTGTCATCAGCTTTACATTCACTTCTTTACATGATGAGGAACCATTTTTAGCCAATTTACAACATTATCTTCATAAAGAAGGTTTGGAAGAAAAAACTAACTTCAAATGCCAGGCCTGGTTTGAGTATAAACAGATGTCTCGTAAAGCTGCCAGATCCATTTCAGAGTTTTCCCGTGTTAATAAACCAAATGGGAAGTTGCGGTTTGTTGTGGCCTCTGTTCCAAACAAGGACAACCCAGGAACTTCTGTTTACCTGTATGAAGATGGGAGCTGGTCAGTTGCAGCTTTGACCTTCCCTCAAAACCTCTCCCTCTTCTTGTCCATGGAATTAGACATGACAGCGTCCAGCTGACCTTTCAACCAGCCGAATACGGGAGAGAGAATATCACCAGCTACCAGGTAGAGTACAGGATTGAGGGAGAAGAGAACTGGAAGACTGTGAATACGGAGAGCAGCCAGGAGATCTTCCTACTAAGAGGTCTAAGCCCAAACACGGAGTACCAGTTCCAATACGCTGTTAGGTGCAAGCCGGGCCTCAGTGAGACCAGCAACATCACCCCGTCTGTGAAGACCCTTCCCGTTGGACCTCCTGGGAAACCCAGGAAAGTGAGTGTGGGAGCCTCCATGATTTCTGTTGCTTGGGGAAGTCCCATTGTCATTGGAGTGGGAGCTGTTATAAAAGAGTACAAAGTGGAGTACAGAGAAGAGACTGGGCATGAAAACATCAAGAGCAAAGATGCATGGAATGAAAGAAGGACAGGGAGAAAAACAGAATTCTTCCAGATTAGTGGGCTGAATCCTCAGATGGTCTACAGACTCAGAGTGTCCGCAGTGTGTGCCGATGGGACTCAGAGTATTCCCAGTGAAGAGGTGGAGGTTTCTACATCCCTGGATGAAGTTGAGAAGGACAGATTAGTTCAAAACTACCTCCCAAAGAGTAGGCTACTGGTAAAAGGACAACCATCAATCTATGCTCTTCCACTAGAGGTGACATCTGATGATTCAACATCCTGTCTGACATATTGTTTTGGGGAAGAGAACCTGAGGATCCCCAACAAAGTCATCATGGTGATGGGAGCCACAGGGTCAGGGAAGACCACCCTCATCAATGGGATGATCAACTACATCTTGGGTGTCCAATGGGAAGACAAATTCCGATTCAAACTCATTCATGAAGAGACCAATCGGAGCCAAGCTGAAAGCCAGACCTCCGAAGTAACTGCTTACATGGTGAACCATCAGAAGGGCTTCAAAGTTCCTTTTTCTCTCACAATTATTGACACCCCAGGATTTGGGAACACGAGAGGAATTGAGCATGACAAATTGACAACACAGAAGATCAGGACGTTTTTCTCCATTCCAGGAGAAAAGCATCCTGACCATATAGATGCCATCTGCATTGTAGTCCAGGCCTCCTTGACTCACTTAACTGAGCCCCAGAAATATGTGTTTGACTCAGTCCTCTCCATTTTTGGAAGAGACATAAAAGACAACATCCAAATCCTAGTCACTTTTGCTGATGGGCAGTCCCCTCCTATCCTGGAAGCCATTAAGGAAGGTGATGTGCCATGTGCAAAAGATGCCAGTGGGATGCCTGTCCACTTCAAATTCAACAATTCTGCCCTTTTTGCCAACAATAAGATTGAGAGTGGAGGCAGCCTTAATTTTGATGAAATGTTCTGGAAAATGGGCTGTATGAGCATGAAGACTTTCTTTGACTCATCCAACACCTTGGAAACTAAAAGTCTGACGTTGATGAAGGAAGTCCTCCAGGAACGGAAACACCTGGAAGCTGCTGTGGAAGGTCTGGAGCCCCAGATCCAAGCTGGACTGGTGAAACTGGAAGAGCTGAGAAATACCCGGAAAGCTCTGAATCAGCACAGGGATGAGATGGCTGCCAACAAGAACTTTGAGTACGAGGTGGAAAAAACTGTCCCAGTGAAGGAGGACATCTCTGGAAGTGGGATTTCATAACCAATTGCATGAATTGTCATTATACCTGTCATTATCCTTGTGGAATTGCCCAAGATGATTGGAAGTACTGCTGTGCAGCTATGGATTCCAATACAAAAACATGCGAGGTGTGTCCTGGCCGATGTGAATGGCATATTCACTTCAACCAGAAGTACAAGTTTACATATAAAGTTGTAAAAGAGAAAAAGACCTATGAAGACCTGAAGCAGAAATATGAGCATGCTTCTGGTGAGGTGATGACCACTGAGAAAGTTCTTGAAAAACTCAGGGAAGAGTATGAAGACGTCAAGCACATCTTGGAAGAGCTGATCAAGCAATCTTCCCAGAGCCTTTGCCGCTTACGGGAAATCGCCCTGAAGCCCAACCCGCTCTCCACCCCAGAATACATCGACCTGCTCATCATGTCCGAAAAGGAAGAGCTGAAGCCAGGTTACCAGGAGAGAATTCGGGTGTTGAAAGAAATGAGGAGGAAGGCTGAAATAATACAGAAGATTGCTAATAGCAAACCACTTCTGCCTGAAGAAAAGGCTATCCATGATTAGATTGAAGAAAGGAAGGTTTCCTCGCTGGGCAAATTTAAAGAAGGGTCAATAAAAAGAATGGCAGCTGTTAAAAGCTGGTTCACCTAAGGCAGTCGTGCACATCTTTCCATGTGCTCTTTCCGAAAGCTTGCATTGCTAATGGAACACAATTATTTACTCTGAATGCATTCAGTTTTCTTTCCTTCCTTGATTTTGTTGGAAATCGTGTGTTTACTTAAAAGAATCATGTTGTGAATTCAGTTTGAAATTCAGTTAAGTGCCAATGCCTTGCTCACCAGCAATAACATAAGAAAATTGGCCACAGTCACAAAGCTTGACCCCTTCAAGCCTCCCTGAAGAACCAGCAACTGTCCCAGACAATGGCTCACTGTTCTGCTGGTGTTCGGGGTGCTGGAGGATGGCATTTCATAGAATCATAGAGTTGGAATAGACCCTATGGACCATCAAATCCAACCCCATTCTGCCAAGAAGCAGGACAATCGTGTTCAAAGCACCCCCAACAGATGGCCATCCAGCCTGTTTAAAAGCCTCCAATGAAGGAGCCTACATCACACTCCAGGGCAGAGAGTTCCACTGCTGAACAGCTTTCAGTCAGGAAGTTCTTCCTCATGTTCAGGTGGAATCTCCTTTCCTGTAGTTCAAAGTCATTGTTCTGCGTCATAGTCTGTAGGGCAGCAGAAAACCAACTTTCCATCCAGAAATCTCTGGCAGAACAATCTGAAGCAGGGTCTCTGTGGCCATTCTTCATATCACTAGAGATCACTAGTTAGAAATGCTATCTTGAGGCTTCCTGATCACTAATAACACAGACCTCTGTTGCTCAAAGGTGCTGCATGTAAAGGTGGGTTGGGGGGGGGGTTGCATCAGGGGACAGTATAAGGTTATGCATTTGTAGCCATAATAGCCATCTTTTGGTCTGCTTTTATATCATATAGTCTCTTTCACAATTTACAATAATAGGCTCACATAGATAAACTTGGGATTCTCAATACATAAAAAGATGCCACATCAGTAAGGTCAGCAAACATATATCAAAGTCCTGCACTGTTACAGATTGAAAAGACAACTTTTCAAGTTATTACCATTTAAACCAGTGGTTTCCAACCTTTGGTCCTCCAGGGGTTTTATACTACAGCTCCCACAATTCCTAATAGCTGGTAGGTTGGCTAGGATTTCTGGGAGTTGAAGTCCAAAACACCCGGAAGACCAAAGATTGAGAACCATTGATTTAAATGTAACAAAGTTGTGCTTCAGGTGTGGTTTTAGTATTCACCTCACATTTATTTACCTAAACAAACTCTAGGATTGCAGTCTTTATCCATCTCACCTGCCATGAGACAGAGCTGACCTGCCTCCATTCAGACTTGGTGCCCCAAGGAACATCTCCTTCCACCTGAAGCTGCTCCTGCATCAAGGTGTGCCTTCAACTAACATGTATACTCATGGATAAGTCGACCTCATGGATACGTCAAGGGCAGAGTTTGGAGACAAATTTATGGATTTTGATATGATCTGATTCTGTGGATAAATTGAGCATCACCCAATGGTGAGAGTAAGCCCCAATGCTACTTAATGAGCCAGCTTCCACTGGCCACCACCACTATTTCCCAACCCAGGCATTCAATAACGCCAGAAGCAGTGCCACCGTGGAAAGAATAGAGAAGGTTGTGCTGCTTTTAGGTTCTCCCAGGACAGAGTAAGCACTTGCTCTTCACTTCTTGGAGAAGGAGATGGTTCCTTTTTCTAAGAGTTAAGGTACAGTGCTCACATTGAACCATAGATAAGTCTGTCATGAATGACTTTTCAATAACTTTGAAGCATAGGTTCTTTTTATTGCAATTTCCAGTGTGAGAAGGTATATCAGATTACAGAAAACATTTAGACAAAGAATGACATTGGACATACAGACATACAGATTCTATGCAACTACATTGGATTCACAATTACATTGGTTAACAAACAAACAAAGGGGAATTACATTTTCACTCAACATTCATACACATGTACATGCATTCATCCTCAGGCATTCAAGTATTACCATATCATTTTCTCCCTCCTTGGAGAAGCACCTCTTAGGCCAGAACCTGCTTTCCTGCAGCCTGCCAATGCATAGTTCCAAAACTTCCATAATGTCATAACTTCAAAACGCCGAATTGCCAAAACTTCTTTCCCTAAGAACAATGCCAAGGACCAGATCTCTGTTTTCCATACAGCAGAACCTGACTCCCTGCACAAAATCCAAGACTCCAAAAGCGCACTTCTTCCTCTTCCCTTGAGAAAGAAGCCCCAAAGTGACCAGACTGCTCCCGTGCAGATCTGCCACTCTCCATAGGTACACTATCTCTCTCCTTCCCATGGAGCAGAGTATAGTGGGTGAACCAAACTCCTCAGGTCAGTCACAATTTGAGCATTATTAGACTGAGTCTTTTAAAGGAATATTCTGTTGATGTTGTCCCAAAGTTGTAAATGAATGATAGATGTCTTCCATCCTGGCTCCATCTCAGATGTTGATCTTCTTGATTGGTGTTGATCTTATGTTGACTTCCTTCTTAACATAAGGAATGTTGCAAACATTTCCTTAACTTGAAAGAACCATTGTCACAGTTCTTATCAATTCTCATTAGCAGGTTTTGATCACAGTTCCAGCAAGCAGGTAGTTAGTCATTGCAGGCCTTAATATTATACTGGTGCTTCCAAAATTATTAACTCCAACCACACATCCTTCCATTCTTCCAATCATTTCCACACATATTAAATTCATATTTGTCAAATCTGCACATCTGCACATTTGTCAAATCTGCACATTTGTCAAATCTGCACAAGGGGAAGTCACAGGGAGGCGGGACCAAGTTTCTTTTCTGCTGCTCTGGAGACTAGGATGCAATGGAGCATAGGTACATCATCTCTCTCCTTTCCATGGAGCAGAGCATGGTGGGTGGAATAGACTCCTCGGTCTGCCACGATTTGAGCATTATTAGCCTGAGTCTTTTATAGGAATATTCTGTTGATGTAGTCCCAAAGTTGTAAATTAATGATAGACGTCTTCCATCCTGGATCCATCTCAGTGTTGATCTTCTTGATTGGTGTTAACAAACACAAGGCTTGTGTTGACTTCCTTCTTAACATAAGGAAGATTGCAAACATTTCCTTTATCACTGTCCCGTTCTTATCAGAGTTTCTCATTAGCAAGTCCAGCAAGTAGGTATTCGTCATTGTAGGCCTTAATATTATACTGGTGTTTCCAAAATACATCCATCCTTCCTTCCTTCCATTCATCCCCACACATCATCATTAAATTCATATTTGTCAACTCTGCACATTGAATTTCTTGTTACAAGTCAACCCAAGTTTTTGAACTAAAATTCCTAGAGCTATACATGAGTATATAGAGTATTTCATCCCCACCACAAAGAGCAGGATGGTGACCATATGCAGGGCTTTTGCTGTGTCTGTGCTTGGGCCATGCCATTTTCCCGTGCTTCTTATGTTCTCTTTTATGGTTCTGATATATTTTGTTGCTGTGCATTCACCATGTTGCCAAATGCAAAAATATTACACATGCCAAAGTGTAAAAAATATATTTTGTACATGTTAAATTGGTTAGTATTTTACACACTGTATTTTATACTATCAGATAGAAGTATATAATGGAAATTAAAGCACATGAGAAAATTGCTTGAAATATCCAGATTTTCAATACTGTAATGTTTAGAAGGTTGCCAATTCTGATCATAACCAAGATGTAGCAGCTTGCTCCAATTATTTTTTAAATAAAGCTTTTCCGCCTCAAGGTGAGCTTGTTTTTTCAGAGAGAAGCCTGCATGTGACGCTGCACCCCAACAGCAGAAAGCTGTGCTCAAGGAGTATTCTTGCCCGGTTCCAATAATAATAATAATAATAATAATAAACCTTTATTTATACCCCGCTACCATCTCCCAAAGGACTCGGTGCGGCTTACAATAGACCGAGACCCAATACAACAATAAAAGACAACAATACATAGGGCTGGGCAACCACGGAAAAATTTGTTTCTAAACTCGATTCGTTTTTTGGGGTTTTTTGCGTTTCGATATTTAAAAGAATTCCGAAATTTTTCTTTAAAAAAGTTCGATATTTACGAAATTTCGTAAAATTACGAAACAATACGAAACGAATACGAAACGAATACGAATCGATTCGTTAATGGCGGACGCGACGCGCAATACGCTAAAAAACCTCCAAATGGGACAGGGGGAACTTCTGAAGCTTCCCTCTCCCTCTGTTGTTGACTGTTGGTGTGATATTTATAATTTTTTTTCACTGATTAAACAAACAACAGCTATAAAACTTGCCCCAGACATGCGGAAATAATAACGAAACGATTTCGAAACAAATACGAAACGAATACGAAGCAATTACGAAACGAATTGAAAAATTCGTTTCGTTTTTTAGATGCTCCTGAATGGTTCGTTATCGCTTCGTAACCAAAAAAAATAACGAATTTTTAACGAATTACGAAATTACGAAACGAAACCGCCCAGCCCTACAATACAGCAGTAAATAAAAATCAAACAGTAAACATTAACAATAAACATGACACAATTAAAACCAATGTCAGGGCCAGATGTAATGGTTAAAATTTTTAAAAAGCTGGGCATGACCGGGTAAAATGGATAGGTATTTTGGTGAATAGGTAGGGCATGTGGACAGACCTAAATCTCTATTAAAGTGCATTTGGGACAAGGTGCTTGTAGTTTCCTATTCTGGGAAGACACACTGAAACAGCCACGTTTTCAAGCTTCTCCTAAAGACTGCCAATGTCAGGGCCTGCCTGATATCCTTGGGAAGTGAGTTCCAGAGTTGAGGGGCCATGACAGAGAAGGCCCTGTTCCTATTTGATGGGGTTCAGGAAGGAGCGGCTGAACCAAGGCTTTGTTTTAAAAATTACCTAGATCTTTGCCTGAACAGTTTCAATGTGACTGTTTTATTATTCAAAAGGATGATCATGGCAGTCTGTTTTGGAACAAAAA